CGTGCCCCAGCCACATAGTGGCCGCCTGGGTTGCTATGGCAGAACAGGACATCCCCCTGATGCCGTGCCTGGGTCGCTATGGCATTTTATGCTGCTGGCTGTCACTGGCGGCTGTGAGGCGGTACATGACGCTGTTAGATCACCGACAACCTGTCCGTGATCTGTACAGCGGCGCGTTCCTCCTCACAGCCGCTGCTGAGTCAGTCACAGCCAACAGCTTAAAGCATAAAAATTGAATTGAACCATTAGGGATAGGCACCACACCCCCAATTAGAATTAGAAAATACCTCCAACCTCCCTGAGGAAGCACATACAGTTGTGAAACGCGTCGGAGATTGGGCCCACAGTGGATCATACAACTATTACAGAAATCAGGACTCAAGGAGTCCATGTTATATTAATGAATTATATATATGTACACATGTATGGGCACCAAAAGGAGGTAGCTTGATTTCAATGTAACATTGTATCATGTCAATGACATTTTAATTGTAACCAAGTCTTTATGTATTAAATATACGTTTATACAAAACCATGTATGTTTGATGGACGTTCTGTATGGTTTGGACACTTTTAAAGCCCCGCTTTTCTTTATCTTTCTTGTATACAACACAGCCAACAGCTGTGGAGGAGGAGGCCGGGGCCCGCTGTCAGCAGTGGAGGAGGAGGCGGGGCCTGCCAGCGACCGTGGAGGAGGAGAAGGCAGATAGCGGATCGGGGCTGACAGGCAAGAGGTGTACAGGGGTGTGACCAGCCCACCTCAGACCCTGCAGACCCCACCATAGAGAGTCTATGGTGGGGTCTGCCGGGTCACTCTCAGGTGGGCTGTTTGGGATATCAGGTGGGCTCTGCCAGGGGCGTAATTAGAAATCACAGGGAACCTTTTTTGCTATGGGGCCCTGTGATTTCTAGTTGCGCCCCTGGCAGGTACTTGCCTCTCTGGCTTCCCTTTGCCCTTAAATACAGTTGTTCAAGCTGCTGTGATGTCTCGGGTCATGTGACCTCACCGGCGCTTACACAACTTCCTTTGCCGAAGACGTTAAAGTGCATGGTGCTTGATTATTTCTCAGGTCTTGGCCAGTGATGACATTTGTCACTTGTCCTTTTAACTCTTAATCATGCAGCTGATAAAATTGTAACCCAGTGACTGGAAAAAAACAAAAGCGAGCCAACAAATCAAATTTCTGCTTTTTATTGTCTCCTCTCCTAGAAATCATCGATGATCTGGCTAACCTTGTCGAAAGCACAGACTCGAGAGTCCGCAATCAAACAAGACAGGTGAAACTTGTGGACAAGAAAAGCGGAGCTTGCGGTAAGAATCGCGGTGCCGTTTCTCGGGAGATCGGTGGGGGGGG